CTGGCCATCTGTCCTGTAAACAACATGTGGCAGTGTCATGACTCCACTGCACTCTACCAATTTTCTTGAGGCTAGTGGTAGATGTTAATCTATCCATGCTCATCCCATGTACTTCTAGAAGTCAGACCTTTACATAAGTAGACCTTTATATAGGTATATGAAGAGGATGAAGGCACCATCCCCATAATCCCTTTAACATTCTCACATGGATTGACCACTATCTGATTGCTAATAAACACAGTCAGGCTTTAGGGAAGGTATTTGTTTTTGTCAAGTGCAATATAGTTTTAATTTTAAACGTGAATGATAAATGGCAGACATGTGACCATGCTTTTCATGGGCTTGCTGCTCCTATTTATATAAATGGACATTCTATCATAGAACTATAGAATATTAGAACTGGAAGGGACCTCAAGAGATCATCAAGGCCAGTCCCCTGCCCTCACATCTATCCCTGATAGATGTCTATCCAACCTGTTCTTAAATGTCTCCAGAGATGGAGATTCCACAACCTCCCTAGACAATTTACTCCAGTGTTTAACCACTTGCGAACGCTCTATGTCGTCATCTAAATCATTGATGAAGATATTGAACAGAACCAGTCCCAAAACAGACCCCTGCAGTACCCCATTTGTTATGCCCTTCTAGCATGATTGTGAACAATTAATAACGACAGCCGGTCCCTGAGTTGCTAACGGTCGAGTTATGATCGTTCGCATTTATGACCAAAGCTCCCATGGAACAGTCCCCAACTTACGAACAGCGCAGTCGCTACATACCTCAGTGGGGTCTGAGGGTAACTCTACACTACAGCGCTAATTCGAACTAACGGATCCAGTCTAAAAAACTAGTTCGAATTAGCGTTTTGCTAATTCGAACTAGCATGTCCACATTAAGTGGACCCTGAAACGGGGTTAAGGATGGCCGGAAGCAGTGCCGGCAGGGCATCAGATGAGGACTTAGACCGTGGAGCTGCTGCCTCAGGCTAGCTGAGGGCTGTGCTTAAAGGGACCCGACCCCCACCCTGGACAGCCAGTTCTCAGGGGTGCCCCGCTTGCAAAGCAGTCCTAGCTTGGATTGCCTGGAATACCCACACTGGGCACATCACAGCACTCGGCCATCAGACCGACTGCACTTGCCGCAGGCTGCCATCTGGGGAGCGGGGGCAATTGGGGGGCTGCAGGAGAGGTTCCATCCCCAGAAGCCCGCAGAGCCAGCCCAGTCCTCCCCATCGAGGGCTCGTACCCCATTCCTCCCTCATCTCCTTCCACTTACCCTTCCCTAGCCCCCCTTCCTGATGTACAAAATAAAGAAAATGTGTGGTCAAAAATAGAATCTCTCTTTATTGAACAAAACTCAGGGAGACTGGGAAAAGGAGATGGGAGAGGGGAGGGCAACTAAAATGATCAGAGGTTTGGAACAGGTCCCATATGAAGAGAGGCTAAAGAGACTGGGACTTTTCAGTTTAGAAAAGAGGAGACTGAGGAGGGATAGGATAGAGGTCTATAAAAGCATGAGTGGGGTGGAGAGGGTGCATCAAGAAAAGTTCTTCATTAGTTCCCATAA